AGAAATTTTATAAACATTTATGCTCGTACTACAAAATATAAAAATTCGACCGTTCCATATTTGGCACGAGTATTGTGTGAAGAGACAAATATCAGAAAAGAACTTTTACAACTTTTGAATCAATAACTAAACTATAAAATGAAATGATGCATATTAATGCAGTGTTATTTGTTATATTTATTTATTATTCACTATGACCTAGAAATGGTGTGATTTTGTTGGGGTGTTTTTTTTCCGATTAACTATCAATATTTTAACATTTTATATAAATTTTATATAATTTTTATATAATTATAAACAGAGCTAAACCATTGCAATATGTAAAAGAAACGCTGAAAATTCCATGCTAAAAATTGCTTTTGTTGTGGAATAAAGTGATTATTATTACTGCCTCCCTAAGCCAGAAATAATGCTGGCAAAGAGGAAAAGTTGGGCATGGAGCTAGCAATCCCATCCTGTAAAATTAAACACTGCTACAGGAACTTCAAGCCGCTGGTTTGACGCCCTATGTTCCACTGGGAACGTGAAGGAAAAAAATTGTACAAACAGGTCTGTATGAGTTTAAAACAATGCCGTTTGGGTTATTCAATGCCCCAGCAACATTTCAACGCCTCATGCAAACGGTCTTGAGTGATTGTATACCAGGTGAGTGTTTGGTATATCTAGATGATGTTATCATACATAGTAATGCTTCGATTCTTGATCGACGGTTCTTACCATGCAATAAATCACAAGGGTAAAAGCGTGACGGTGGCACAGCGGTTAGGACTCTCACCGACCATGCACATGGTCTGGTGTTCGACTCCTCGCCGACGCACACCTGATATCAATGGTCGGCCTGCATAATTTGGGCTACCGATATCACATGCCGAAAATTTCACACTTGTACCAAAAATACTGTTGGAATCAAGCCGTAATCAAAAATTTAAAAAATGAAAAATAAGACGACGGCTGAACATTTAAGTGATATTTCTGAAGTATTAGAACAGATGCAGACCGTTGGGTTGAAACTGAACCCATCGAAATGTCAATTCTCCAGGAAAGAAGTGTGTTTCTGAGGTCACATTATTTCGGCCGAAGGCATGAAGTGTGATCCAGCAAATTTCAGCAAGTTAAAGACCAGCCTCTCCCAAACTCAGCCCCTGAGTTACATAGTTTTTAAGGGTTAGCCTCGTATTACCAACGTTTTGTACTTAACTTTTCTTTCCTTGTAGCTCCTTTATTCAACATTCCTAAGACGAAACATTATAGCTGGACAGCACCAGCTACGGAAACCTTCGAAATACTTAAAAACTGTTTATGTAGCTCTCCTATCCTAGCATACCACATTGTTTCTGACCAGGCAGGTTCATTCAGACGCTAGCAACACTGGTATCGGGGCTGTTCTGTCTCAAAAAGACGCATATAGAGTAGAAAAGGTGATATCCTATGCAAGTCGAGCACTCAACAAGAGTGGAAAGAAATGGTGGCACTGGTCAGTTTTGTTAAACACTTTAGGGTATATTGCCTCGGTAGACACTTCGTTGTACGCGCTGATCATAGAGCCCTTAGCTGGCTACATAACTTCAAAGAAGCTGAGGGTCAGATCGCTATATGGCAAGAACACCTACAAGAGTATGACTTCGAATGCATGCATAGACCGGGTAAGAATCATGGAAATGCAGATGCATTGTCAAGAAAACCTCTTAGGTATCACGGTGACTGCCCATCATGCACCGAAGCACAAGTTTCGCTGCTCCAACTACAGGCTCATACTTCATATAGTTGGCCTGAACTTCAGTCTCAGACCCTGAACTGGCTTTGATTTACGAACGTGTTCGAAATGGAGGCGAACGACCGACAACCCAGGAAATAAGTAAGTTTGGATGGGAAACCCGGTGTTTATTTTCTCTGTGAGGTAATTTGAGAATTGTCGACAACATCCTTTACCACCAACATGGAATAATTATAATCGTTGCGTTGTGGCTCCACAGTACTATTGTCATTACACCAGCAGTTAGACCACGTGGTCTCAGAGAAAATGATCGAAGCGGCTAGAAGACGTTATTGGTGGCCTCACCAGAGGAAAGACACCATAGATTTCTGTGATTTCTGAGAGATATTCCAAACTAATAAGGCTCCGCACTAATATAATAAGGCACCCTTAGAACCCATTATAACTGATCATCCAAGTGACTTAGTGCAAATAGATTTGGTTGGGTCTCTCCCAGTAACCTCCAGAAATAATAACCGTATTTTAGTCATGAGAGATCATTTTACCAAATGGTGCCAGGCTATCGCGTTTCCACAGATTGATGCTGAAACCATCGGAGAGTCAATTGTTGGGGGGCACCACTTCAGCTACTCTCAAATCGTGGATCCAACTTTGAAAGTATCGTTGTCAGCGAACTCTGTCGCACAATGGGTATCCGAAAAACACACACTACCGCATACAACCCACAGGGAAATGGTTTGGTTGAACGCATCAATCGGACACTTAAATCTATCTTACAGGCATTTGTAGACCAAAACAACCCCAGGGAATGGGACTGATCAGTTCTGCAGTGCTTAATGGCGTACAAAGCAAGCATCACAAAGCTACGCGTCAAGCGCCGAATTATGTGGTCACTGGAAGAGAACTCCGGTTGCCAAACAATCTGACTTCACATTAGGAGAGGACACACTGATTGCATCCGAACACATAATCACACTAAGATGAAACCTGAGCAAGGTATACCAAATGACTAGGGATATACTCCAAACAAACCAGAGGTACCAGAAAGAATACTATGATAGGAAAGCACATGGATTACCTGTGGAGCCAAGAGACAAGGTGATGCTACTTAAGGAGGCACCACCTAAGAGGAAGGCTCTTCAATTCCATAAACGCTGGGAAGAACCATTCGCTGTAGCAGAGGTACTAAGTGACTGCACCCGTAGGATTCAGGAACCCAATTCCTCTCATAGTCTAGTCACACACCACAATAGACTAAAAACTTTTCGACAACAGTCCTTATATCAGGCAAGTCCTGTAGGAAGTCACCTAGCACTGCGGACAGTGCTCCTATGGGGAGGGGGTAGCGTTAGGCATGGTAAGTTCGGCGGTTTTCTAATGTTCAAACTATGCTTGTCTACTTTCAGGTTAGCTACGAAGTATGCAGGGATTGGCTACCCAAGACGAGGCAACGAATGACCAATATGGGTGCCCCTTCCCTATCATCTAATTGTATTGTGACTGGTTGTAAATATAACCCTTGACCTTGAGTCTTCGTTCTTACTAGCACGCGACACTTGTGTGATCCCACTGCTAACGTGCGCTTTGCTCTCTGTTTCAGATCATTGCTTGACGAGTGGGATTACAGTAGGTACATTCGTCACAAACCACTTATTCCAATTACTATTGTTCACTGTCAATATCCTCCCTGCCTACCCTTAGTTTAAATGCTCTTAAACCGTTTAACTGGGTACGAGAATGACCCATGCAAACCACGGCTGATTTACATCAGTAACGCTAACAATAGATTTGCTTCACATTTAACAGTTTTTTTCAGTAGTCGTTTACCAGAGGTGTAGCAGGTGGAGGACGGAATTGACACTAACGGACTAACTTGAGAAACAGAAATTGTCTCTGCCACTAATACCTGGGAGTGACAGTCACTTGTTCCCATTAACTTGTACCAATGATTCTTAATATTGGATATTGTACAAGTGTTTCAGTAATATCGGTTTGTGGTTGCCCGCGATATTCGTTCCGTCGCTCAGTTTAGGTCTATTAGAGGTGAGTTGTGGCTGTTTTCACTGACAATTGTGTGTGACACCTTTGCGTCCACTAAATCGTAACATGTTCAAACCCTCGTGGAGCATTCTGAAATGTTATTAAACCGGTTGCAATGTCTGTTAATCGAATTTAAAGACTAGATGCCAGGATTAGGTGTATGTGTTCGATGCTTTGTTGTGGTCTTATGAAGTACGTCTTTGTATGAAAGCCTTTGGTATGGCTTAACATTAGTCAGTTTTAGTATTTTTAGGAACTTGTGGATCTTGGTAACGCGATGCAAACCATTCACTGGTAATAGGACTACATTTCAGTTTCCCATTGAAGGAGTTTGAAATCAAAGTCATAAAAACAAGCAGCTAAAGTTCAAAAACTACTCACTGAACTAAATGGTGCAAAACGTCCTCAAAAAGCATTCCGGTGGTTTTCCGGTCAGATGTTTACCGCGGTACCTGGCAGTGGCAACTTGCGGGGAGAATTAAACTTGTTACTCTCACCTTGACAACAAAACTAAAGTTGACCCGAAGACTGGCGAATTTCAGTCAAATGGATACATTTTGGTTCACAGGGTCATCTGCTGCTGCTCCACGTTAGGTGTAGAGATATTGTATAGTTAACAAATTAAGCAGCAGCAAGATATCTAACTAATAACAATTATTTGTCTGACGTATTTCGTAAGGTACTGTGTTACGTTGGGAACTGCGCCTATCAATGCGCTTATCTTACGAGGGTGCAGTCTGCCTTGTGCGTTACAAAGCTTTTGTTTTGAAACTTCCCTGAAAATAAGTGTCTCTTCTAGACTCTTGTGGAAGCGAACTAAAAAATACAGTCTTGGAAAGCTTTTCAATATTGCCAAGAGGTGTGTTTCTGTTTAGAGGGAACTAATGTTTGTATTAACGATTGCATTTCATCCCGTTTTAATCGCGCCCTGTATTTGATGTCAAAGTTCACATGACAGAACCTGTAAAAAGGCATACAGTTACAACTCAACCGCTCATGGGATATGGAGCACAAACTAAAAATGTTGCATAGAACATGGTTACGGTTTATTTTTGTTGCATGTGCCTATTTTTTGCTGTCCAGGTATAATTCTCCAGTTTTATTTCATCACCCTGCTGAAATGAGTTTCCCAAAATTTTAGTCACAGTCAATTTAATCTTTTTCTCGTTGGTAATGTGCTTTCTTAGTTAAGTAATTTTCTCCCTTTCAGCATCAATTAAGGTCTCTTTAAAAGCTGAGGGTTTGAATGGCTTACGACATGCCCTACTCCAACAGAGAAAGTGGACGAGATTATCGCAATGGTTCTCGACACGTTGAGCATCCGTAAGTATTTTCCCTTTTAGTCCATATTACCTTTGATATGTCCTCACTATTGTGCCTACAAACTGAACATACGTGCTATATATTAAATATACTATATATTTTCGTAGAAATATCGGAAGTAATAAGGCTGATGTACTTATAAGAATATTAAGCGTTAGTGATTGATGAACTTTCTCCTGGTCGTCAGAACAAATGGATTATGTGATACTATTGAATCCTTCAGTCCGTTTGAGTTTGTCTAAAACTTTTTGGTGCACTAACTGAATCATAATTACTTGCATTTAATGCACTACTTATGAGAGTGCATATTTTTCGATTTGACTGACACTGGTTTCAACACAGTATGATTTGTCTTGAAATTCACATATCTAAGTCTGCCTGTACAGTCAGGCACAATTTTCGAAATCACTTTTGTCAGCCAATTAATACTGGTTGTATCAATATTCATTTGCAAGTCACCGAACCATCTGTTATTCTGCTCATTTTAACCTAGGGAACTCATCAAAATCAAAAATCAATCGACGAGGCTATAAAGTTACATAGACTGAGATGGCTAGGTCACGTGCTGCGCATGCCTAACCACCGCCTCCCCCACCCCGACGGGCATTACTACCTGATATAGGTGGTGCAGGTTGGGAAAGAGCCAGTGGTGGCCAAACAAAAACACGGCCTCATCAATCCATGAAATCCTTGACAGTTAAACTGAGTCAGGTAGGGAGATGCAGACTTCCGGGTTGGGGCCTTCGAGACTCTAGGAATCAATGGCTGGAGACAATAGGTGACATGGCTCAAAATCGTTGTCAATGGCCAGCGCAGATGCATATTCTGTCCCTGTAATCTTTCATATTCCTTTCTACCATTACCCATTCTGTTTCCCTCTTATACTTGTCAGACTGTATTGATTCTCTTCACTCATCTTCTTGTCTACATTTGTGTGCTATTTGGAACGTGGCAACTCGAACTGGTGCACTTCGGTGCCAAGTTCTATGTTGAATCCAGACAGACAGGGAACTCATAATTGCAATCAGCTCGCTTATACAGGCATAGGTCTAGCTTGACCGCATATACTGGAACATTGGTGTTTTCTATTTACATATCCTTATGGACAATTATATATTGAAAGGTACTAAGTAATACGTACATGATCACTTTTTAAGCCTTAACATATACCTATCATGGTTTACTGACTGTGGGCACCTAGAACAAAGTAAACCTTATGGGTTGGTAGCGGAGAACATAAGATGCTTGGTGAGATTCACAGCTGATTACCATACTAGAATGAATGTGACATATAGTCAAGTAGATAAGAACGCATTATGTTGAAGTCCTTGGTTAGAACAGCTGCCCGGAACAGATTATTTGTATCAGACTATGAGCCACATTGTATGAAGATTAATTAAACCAACTTAGCCAATCAAGCTGAACTTGATGAGGTGAGATTCGAACCCGAGGTCCACTGTCTGGAAGTTGAATGTTAAAGCCAATGAGCCACGTTACCTAGCAAGGAGAGGAAACTGCCATTATTCTTAAATCTTGTGACGTTGGCTCGCTACTCATGTTTCATTGGGAACATTAGTTTTCATAAGGTAAATAAGTCAGTAGGCTGTAGCGTGTCTGATCAAGATGCATCACCTTTTGGTTGCATATCTATTGCGCATCTAGGTATATATTCATTTACAGTGATCAAGTTGTTTGTAATATATTTTAGATATGAAAATTCAGGCTCAAGAAAACGCTACCGTGATGCTCCACAACCATCCTTCGAAAATGATGTAAAAGATCGAGAGTATGACTATTACAGTGCAGATAACGAGTTCCTTTCTCCTAACAGACGAATGCACCGAAGTAAAGATAATCCAGTGAAATATCGCTCGGATTCACGGTACGACCGTTATGCAGACACTAGCCCTGTCGCCAGAAAGCGTAGTAGAGTGGATGTTCAAGGTGATGCATCTCCTCCCAAGCCATCTCGCATTCTTGGTGCCTTCGGATTGGCAATGCGTACTGAAGAAAGAGATTTATACGATGCCATGAAAAAATATGGTGATATTGAAGAGGTCAAGATTGTTCAGGATAGTATATCAGGTAAGTATTTCATATGATCATTCTGTACAATGTACTCCAAATGTTTGGTGCAGCAAATCCTTTATACGATGCAGTTATTCACGCCTTTCTTGTTATAGTCCACTGACTATATAAGTTTTAGCAATTATCTAGTATTTGTTTCAACATAGAACTTTGCACCGATGTGCAGCAGTTCGAGTCGTCATACCATGTAGCACACAAAGCAAGGGAAATAGTAAATATAAATGCAAAATAGAGTCAGTAAACAGAGGTGTAAGGCAAAAAGAATAGTAATATCGAAGAACAGTATAGTTTCATTGAATATTATCAGTCACAAGGAGTGGATGCACCTGCACCAGCCATTGAGAACGACTTTAAGCCATATCACCAATTGTCTTCAACTATCGGTGTTTACGTCCCGATGACCCCAACCCCTTCATACTTGGTCGGCTCAAACTAACTTGCGGATTTACAAAAGAATGGATACTGTACAAATAGTACTCTTTTCGATAATTTCATCATCAGGCTCTACAGTTATAATTTATATTTAAATGTAGAGCCTGACGATAAAGTTATCAAAAAGAGTATTCTTTTGAAAATTCTATTAGGCATTTTTAATCAGTTGAAATGTTGTGGATTTCACTGGTTGATGAAGCCATGATTTGATTTAACCACCGCTAGCTAACTTTCAACCTGACCCTATGTCAGCTAACATTGCCCATTGTCAAGGAAGGCGATGACTAGTTGTGCATGCGTAAAGCATGTCCCAACCATCTCAATTTATGTAGCTGCTTCACAACCTTGTCGATTGATTCTCTCTCCTTACCTAGCACTCGACTGATGTCTGATCTCAACATTGCTTACCTTATTATACCACTTCACACGGGAGATAGAACGCAGACACCTATGATCAAAGACAACTAAGCAGGCTTTCTATGTCTTCCACTTTCAATGGTCATGTTTCAATCACAGTGATAAAGGAGGACAGAGCGGACTGCCGAGCAGTACACACGCCCTTTGGTCAATAGCCGGATGTCACGTCTACTAAATCAGAGACGGCGTAAAGTGGTAAATGCTCAACGAGTCTTCTGTATGCGTGCTGAGATTTCGTCAGAAATCAACCCGTTGGCGTTGGCTGATGCAACTTCCCAAGTATGTGAAGTGGTCAACGCACTTAGTCACTTCACTCCCTATTTCTAAACTAGGAGTCAATGTAGTCCAGTCCCGAAACATCATCTTACGTTTGGCGGGAGCGAATCGCATGCCGAACATTCTCAGATTGCAGCTCAAGATGTTCAGAAGACTGCATTTTGTCAGCGTCTTCACCTCAACTAGGAGGATTATATTATCTGCATATTGTATGCCAACGAGATTATTCCCCGGTAATAAGTCAATCCCTGTGTTTCTGAAGTGAGTTAGTGTTAAGTCCATTAGTGCATCTATGATAACATTGAATAGAAATGGGGGTAGTGAGCACCCCTGACAGATACCACTAGTTGTCACCACTTCAGATGACAACCCTCCATAAGCTCTCACCTGGTTGGCTGCATGAGTTCAAGTGTAGTGCCTTGATCAGCGCAATGTACTGTTTGCCGTTAAGGTGCCAGGTTATATATTTTCACTGTCAGTAGGTATTAGAGCCACTTTAGAATGTACTATATATTTTTTATTTGCAGCGACCAATGGGTCCTTCTAATGTATTTGACCATGAGTACATTTGAAATGACCTCTTTTCACTTGTTCTAAGGACTCAAGAGGATATATAAGCTTCATATTGTCATTGATCTATATCTTAGTTGCACAGGGTAATATGGTTACACATGTAAAGTACCTTTATAAATTCACCTTTTTTCAAGGAGACACTGAGAATAAGTCTCAATGATCTGACCGTGTGATGTTTGCTTATGAACTTCTTTGAACAATGAGTATTAAAGTTTCTTTCAACATTCTTTCCTCGTCTTTCAGTATGTCAGCTGAGCATATTCTTCGAGTCCTATTAAATAGGCTGAACAGAAATTGTTGTAATTATGATGCTATCCTGTCCATGTATACCTTCTATAAATAGGTCATGCTATTTATGCATATGGTCATCAGACAATCAATATATCTAGGAGAGATAAACACTTCCACTTCGCTCATTCTATCTGAAATTGAAACGGCATATCTAAGGTCGTCCGTCACTTAGGGTACTACTAACATATTTTAGACAAATTGGACATTTTCAGCTAGGGCTTAAAGTAAGTAAACCTTCAGTCATTGAGAAATTACGTTTATAAGTGTTATCACAAAAATTATCAGCTTTTTCAACTAAGGGAACATTAGTGAATAATGAGTCTACATCAAAGGTTATTAATCAGCTCTAATGTATTTTTTCGGAAGATGCTTTTACAGAAACTTGTTAATTTCTAGTAATTGCAGTAACTATTGAGTAGGCCTGTGTTTTTGTTCATTCAACAGCTATTCGATACCATACTTCGTGTTAAGTAGTTCACCGGGGCCTTTGAGCTAATGACAAGAGTGAGACAAGACTGTCTAGTGCGATTATTCACATCACTTATCAAAAGAAACAAGATCTGAATTTCTAAAATTAATATCAAATCAGTGCTTCTCATTGGTCTAAAAACTTGGCGCATGTCTCACCGCGAAAACTGTAACAACAGACTGCAGGCTTTCATCAGTAGCTGTCTTCGCCCAACGCTGGAGATCAGATGGTTGTCCAAAAAACATCAGCAACGGAAAGCTGTGGCAATGAGCCCATCAGGAACTTGTTGTCTAACAAATATGCAGAAAGAAACAGGATTGGATTAGACATGCTCTGAGGAAAACGTTGGGTGACATCAAACGCCTGGCCCTCAACTGGAGCCCGAATGCGTGAAGATGAGTTTGGCGCCTGGAGAGTGATATTGGAGAAAATCCTGTGAGGAGTTAATGAAAGCTTGTGCGCAGTCGTGGTGTTAGCTGAGAGTGATGGCATAGAACCGAGTGGAGTGGATATGTTCTGCTGAGGTACTGTGTTCCATTCACAACCGGAGGAACACGTTTTTGGTGATCTAAAGACTGACATCAAATGATGTTGGAAATGATTGGGTGTATATTAGGTAAACCTTACAAATGGTGAGATTTGCATGTTGTATATCAGAAATCATTCGAATTACTCTAAAACCTTTCACCTATTTCATAGCGTCACATTTTTATGATTTATACACCTTCTTTTATTTATCAATAGGGCGTTCACGTGGCTTTGCATTTATATATTTTCGATCCATGGAAAGCGCCAGGGCTGCACGTGCAGCGTGTGCTAGGGGCTTGGAGCTACATGGTCGCATTGTCCGAATTGACTACAGTTTTACCAAAGGACCACACGATCCCACTCCTGGAGTATATATGGGCAAAGAGAATAAACGGTAACTTACCAGTTTTGTAGTTCGTTTCATCCAATTGTGAATTCGTCTTTGTTGTTATCTTCTGTGAATGACAAGTGCTGACTGCTATGAGTAGTTTCACTCTCAGTTTTGTTATGCGGTGATATAATTAGCACAAGCGTATGGATGATAAGAAAGCTTGGATTCAGTTGTTCTTCTTCACCGAAGGAACATCATGCTGATTGATAGACTACATTCCATCTAGTTGTGTTTCAACATGCTGCTTTTCTGCTTACTCTTTGGTACCAGTCGTCTGTTTCCTCACCTTAGGAAATCTATCACTAATATGGGGTGATTCGTGACGATTTGTTTTCTACAGGGGTTTCTTGCAAGTTGAAATGAAATGAATATAGCTAATATTCAAAATCTAAAGCTCAATGAATTTGTTCAGAAGAGGATTGCCTTCCCAATTATCTTCAAGCTGATAAACGTATGTATATAATTAAAAATCGGTTCCCTCATGAATAATGTAGTCTAGTGCACAAGTTGAAATTTGTGAAAATTTACACAGCAGTTCACCTATTCTATTTTCAAAGCACTAACGACGGAAATGAATATCAACATTGTAATAAAAGAATCTCAAAGTAAACAGTTAGCGCGTCAACCAACAGAATGAAACAAAATGCGCCGACCGATCATCCGTGGAAATAAAACAAGATGATCACTCTGTTTTGTATCACTCAGATCACCATTCAGCTCAGTTTAGCTCAGCTCCCTCACTTGAAGTGTTATGGCATGCCTACTTCTTGGCCTTTTTCTAACTGCAGTCGTATCTCACTCAACTTCACAAGCAACGGTGACTATCAGTCCTGTCCCCTTAACGCGTCCGGCGTAAGGTCACATCGTCAAATGAGTCTCTCTTAGTCGTCTAAAACATTTTATCTGGTTTTATCAATGAAGTAAAAGTAGTTTCAACCACTTAGTAATTAAGAGTGATGGTTATCACCCAGTTTACAATATCAACATTGGGATATATTCTCCAGGTTTCATCGGACATTGTATTCATTCGATAGATAACATTTGAATTTTGTCTTATATGTTCAGAATGTATAATGCTACGGCTTTCTGAACTTCGGGAATCCCATATTCCGAATTTCGCAACTATCAGTGTGCAATAAGCCGTTATTGAGACCTTAAGACATCTGTCTTTATCCAGTTTTAAAAATGGCTGTCGACATAATCAAATTATATATTACCTACACAGACGCTCAACTACATTTACGCCTTGGACTTCATTACACTGCTGAAGTTGCATCAGTGAACATCAGAGTGACTAAAAAGAAATGAACAGAAAATATACCAAAAAGAGCATTTCATCAGTTCTTGTGGCATTTGTTTAATTATCAGTAGTTAACGTCAAGAAAAATCGCTAAAGTGCGATTCTCCCATTTTCACTGAGTAATTGGTTTACGGTACAATTCCACTCCACTGTTCTTTAATCGTTTGCTATTACAAAGGAAAGTAGCTCCCAAATAATTGAATACATTATGTGTATATAAAGTGCAAACGAAGTTTGTATCGTTCATCTGTCTGTCTGTTTTCGACATCGAACTTTGCACCGATGTGCGGCAGTTCAAGTCGTCACACTCCATGTGTAGCACACAAAGCAAGAGAAAAAAGTAAAAAGAAACGCAAAATACAGACAGTAAACAGAGATACGAAGCAAAAAGAATGATAATATCCAAGAACAATACAGTTTCATTGAAATTTATAAGTCACAACGAGTGGATCCATCTGCGATGTGCCACAGAGCCAATTGTCTCCAGCCGTCAATAGCTCTTACATTCTCGACGACCCGAGAACTTAATTTTCCTCGGAGTACCTTGCAATAATGTGTCGCAGTTCAAGTTGCCACGCTTCACAAAACACAAAAGTAGGGAAAAAGAAGAAAGAATACCTTCATGTAGAGCAATGAGAATATATATAATAGATCTGGGTGATCAGAAGAGAGTAAATTCACAAACGCCTTGGGATCATATCATCGTCTACCGTCTTCAAAGATTACTTCTTACTATCTTGAAGACCTCAGCCAAAACGTTCAGTTCCGTAGTTAATGTACACTTCTTTTTTGATTGAAAACAGCATATCACCTATCAACAGGAACAAATACGAAACACTGAACGCTTTGTTCTGTCAGCCTGTGACAAGCGCATATTCCTCTTAGAATCAATCTGACCTCTGCGATAAAGTACGTGTGAAGAATAGTTCAACCGAGCATTTCATACAATTGATGTACTACCCTGTAGATGTATATGAAGCTGTGAACACTGCTGCATATCCAAGTGACGACGTTTCTATTTTGATGCAGGAACTATTGAGTCGTGGTAGAGAATTTTATAATGGTCTAATGTAGCGTAAAAGAAGATTTCTGTATCCTCTATTCAATACGATTGTCCTGTTATGTTGTTCCCTTTTCCTAATGAATTCACAATCATTGTTAGCTTGCCTTAATATCTGTAGGTTAGTACTGATTATTTTTATTGTTGAGGTCAAAGGCTTTGCTTTGGTTACCTTTTTTAAAAATTCCTTTACGTTCTCAGTGGAACATAAGGCTTAGAACTAGAGCCTTAAAGTTCCCGTAGTGGTGGTATTTATTTTTACAGGATGTGGTCGCTAGCCTCGTGCTCAACCTTCCCTCTTTACCAGTCTTAATACTGGCTTAGCGAGGTGAAGGAGGAGTACGTCGGCCAGGGATGGAATCTCGAACTATCTGCGTAGTTGGCGAGCATTCTACCACTGTGCCACCGTTAGTTCTTTAAGCAAATAAGTAGAGCCCTATAGCATAGTTAAGAGAGCGTGGGAATCAATTTATAGATTTCTCTCAAAATTTGAGAACTTTGACAAAAAATTAGACTGTTCTGCCGAACATTCAGTATTGTAGGTTGCCTTTTCAGTGTTTCTTATAAAGGCGTACATATATATAAGTCGCTAGTCAACTAACATAGAAACTGTTGCCATACGATAATCCCATACTGAATACTGGTAATGTATTTGGTGTACATTGTTAATACAAATGACTACTGGAGTAGACTTATTTTCTCTTTAAGTTGAGAATACATAAGAAATTGCACTTTCGAACCTCCATCTGTCACATGAATTAAGTTGTATGTCTTCATTAAAACGGATTACCTCACCCTGCTAAGTAGGACTGATTATGAACATAGCAACCCAACATGCATGTTATTGATTAAGTAAGGGCCAGGGCACAGTTGTGTTGCAGCTTGTATTAAAAACCGATAAGACTTGAACAGTTGGCATTTGATCATATTCTTTCTCTCTGGAAGTATTCCAATGTTTTTTATTCCATAACGGATTCCTTTATTAACTGATAGGTGTGTGTGTAATCATGATTTTTGCGTCTTTTGCTCACTTTACTCTAATTCATTATTGAATGCTAGAATTCTTTCATTAAGGCAATATCGACGCCACTATTATCGAATTTAATCTTTTAGACTCAGTCATGGTGGACGTGGACGTCGGCCAATGTTTGAAGAGCGTCGAAGATCTCCTATGTATGAAACTCGAGCTCCTCCTAGACCACGTCCTTCTCAACGAATGCCTCGACCACCAGTAATGGAAAAATCCAGTCGTTATGATCAGTCACCGACACTAGAAGAGACAAGTCGACCGCGTGACTTGTTAGCATACAATTCCGGCGGTCGAAGTCGTTATCCAAGGAATGGTGATAGTATGCATCAAAGTCATTCACGTCCATCTCGTCCTGTTGTCATGCGTAATTCGTATAATAGTATGCGGCGTCAAGGAAGAAATGAATTTGCATCAGTGAATAACAGCTTTTCATCAAATTAACAATAAAATATATATTTGCATTTAAAATCCCTGATAATAATAATAATTCCATTGTTTGATAAGAGAGAGGGGATTCCTTGTAATTATCTAAAATTCGCTGAATATCACACTACTGCTTTAAATTGTGTGTTGATTTTCTTCAATTTGTTGGCATGTTGTAAAGAGTTAGCGTAAAATCTTCAATATATCGGAAAAAGCAAGAAATCCTGTGATGAAATTGTGTTTATACACTTTAAGGGATATTTTGTACTGCTAAACAACACTGTAATCTTGGATGCAAAACTCCCCTGCTATATACATACCAAAGGAGCCTTAATAAAACATACTATTGATTATGAGAAACTGAAGTAAAAAAACACATTGACTAATTAATCGTTAAAATATGAAAATATCTTGGTCATTTTGTTAGAGTTTTTATATATTATCTGACTATAACAACCAAGTGAATGAGTGAGTAATTGGAAAATACGCTACTGACTGACACTTCATGGCTAAAATCAACTTGAATTATTCAAGAAGTAGGATATACTAAATCTCCGGATAAAATATATAATCATTGAAAGAACAATTAAAGTTAACTCATAAGACATGCGGGGAAGAGGAAGGGAAGAGTAACAAGACCCCTCAGATTGTATTCTTGGTACTCATCGTATCATGTCAAAAAAACTCCGGGAAGATATACTTAACACAACATCATTCATCAACGTACCAGTTGTGCATGTTCCTGCTTGGAGTAAAGGTTCACTAACGCTGCTTCTTTTTATAATATGCGACAATATTTTCGTATATATCAATTTACTTGGACGTTGTTGTACTTCAATTCTTCCTGTGTGTGACTTCGATATGCTTTTCAATCTGATGATAAATATTGACTGTTTTGTTTTGCTTTCAGGTGTGAGAGTTACACGAAGTGAGTAGAAATCACGTGTTCCATACTTCCCCATGACCCATGATTTATTGATCCCAGTTATCCATCATAATAATACTTGTACTTCGCTTAGTAGAAGACTAAATTGTAGGGTCTATATATAGCAATTTTATGGTGTTTTGGCTTATTTAACTTAATAGTAATAATAATAATAATGGTCTTATCAATAATAAGGATGAAAAAATGAGGCAATCTGTGATAACACGAATAATGAAAAACAGTATGATTAAACAAACAATTGTTCAGGTGGAAGTAGTCGATAAAGGCTAGTAAAGACAAATGAACGGATTACGTAATGTTAGATTGTAGGGGAAGGAAATGAAACACGTTTATAATGAATATAAGATAAGATTAAGGAATGATAAGAAAGGGGTTGGAAATATAAATAAAGGGTGGTGTAGAAGTCTATCGTTGGTTATGTCTTATTAGGCCACGGGAGGGATAATGGCTGCACGAACTTCTTTTGAATGCGTAGTTTAGGTTCAATAGCTCGAATGCCTATCGCCTCAGCTGTGTGCAGTAGACGAATACGAAGTCTATTAGAAAGATTCGGAGGGATACGATGAATTACTTTGAAGGCTTTCGTTTTATCGACTACATGACCACTATCAATTAGATGTGACAGAATTGAGCTTCGGATTGTTTTTTTTGTCTGTCCTTTGCCAAACCACGATGGGAGATGTTCACTAACACGTTGGCTAAGCTGTCTAGTAGTACGCCCAATATAACTGTCACCGCAGGTGCATTTGAATTGATAAATACACATAGATGTGGCAAAACTATCGCAGCACACCTGTGTTTGTCATTCTCTAGCCGACGAATGATTGGGACGCAAACGAAGGATAAGCTTGATAGTTTTGCCACATCTATGTGTATTTATCAATTCAACTGCACCTGCGGTGACAGTAATATTGGGCGTACTACTAGACAGCTTAGCCAACGTGTTAGTGAACATCTCCCATCGTGGTTTGGCAAAGGACAGACAAAAAAACAATCCGAAGCTCAATTCTGTCACATTTAATTGATAGTGGTCATGTAGTCGATAAAACGAAAGCCTTCAAAGTAATTCATCGTATCCCTCCGAATCTTTCTAATAGACTTCGTATTCGTCTACTGCACACGGCTGAGGCGATAGGCATTCGAACTATTAAACCTAAACTATGTAGAAGTCTTTCGTTGGTTATGTCTTATTAGGCCACGGGAGGGATAATGGCTGCACGAACTTCTTTTTTATATTTATATTTCCAACCCCTTTCTTATCATTCCTTAATCTTATCTTATATTCATTATAAACGTGTTTCATTTCCTTCCCCTACAATCTAACATTACGTAATCGGTTCATTTGTTTTTACTAGCCTTTATCGACTACTTCCACCTGAACAATTGTTTGTTTAATCATACTGTTTTTCATTATTCGTGTTATCACAGATTGCCTCATTTTTTCATCCTTATTATTGATAAGACCATTATTATTATTATTACTATTATTAATATTATCATTACCACTATTATGACTAACTGCACAATTTATATTCACCATCGTATTATCCTATAGACAAAACACCACGATTGGTTTATATTTGAATTTTTATGTAACTTAATGTCGATTTTGAGTAAGTAACTGTGGGAAATTGTTGTTTCTAACGTAGTAATTACCCTACAACTATAACGGAGACAAATCAGCCTACCGTGTTTCCAAACATCACGGATCTCATCAGGAAAAGCTAAGAAAGTGATGCTTCGTGGATTATTGAGACACTTTTTTTTAACAGATTCTCCATGTCTCTATCATATTTCGGTTTACCTAGTTATATTCGACGGCAAAACGTGTCATATTATCTATTCTTTTTGTAATTTCATTTAACCAGTAACTTCAGTCTTAAGGATCTGTGCTTGTTGTGCATCGTCGGAAAGTTTCAAACTAGGAAGAGAGGGAAATAATTTACCAGTCTTTATTCTTCAGTTTCCAACTGTCCACGTCCTAATGAGCAAATACATCATGAGTTACCTCTTTAACCATCGATCTCGATATTACAGCTAAATATTTTTCACTAAGCAAAATTGTTACGTGTCTTACTCCGGTTTAAGGTTTCCTCAGCAAAAAGGATACACCGTGTCACAATTGATCGCTTTAATCCAAACACTGTTTTTCTGTGAAGTTAGTTTTTTTTGTCAATGGCGAATGTCAGTGCGGTCAAGGCAACGGATTTTAATCATATGCTTGTTCATATAAAAGCAATTTCTGTTGACCCCCAATGGCTAACTGAAAGGGTGCATAATTCAAGAGGTACCAATTCTTCAACAAATCAAAATATAAGGAGCTGTACGAAGTAATATCTGAAAACAGTTCAACTTTCAAGAGATTTCTTACAGAACAGGGTGTAACTGAAGAAGTTGGACTTTGTATTCCAGACCATCTCTGTCTAGGTGCAAAAAATTTGTACATTAGATATTATACAGTTAAGTGCTAATTGCGAGGTGTGCGTGGGTGGGAGAAGGAGAGAAGAATACTTCATAAGTGATACTGTATTTTTTAGAGTGCGTAACTTTTATTTCTTGCTCTGCTGATTCCTGTAGTATCTCGGCTTTTGTTTCTCTCTCTCTCTGTTCAGTTTTTGTAATTCCGTATTTGTATCTTGTGTACGTTTAGTAGGTAGTTTCATTTTTGAAATTTGTTCTCTACTAACTAAAATTAATAGTCTAAAAATTATTGTCAGTTGATGACAAATCAGTTAACATTGGACCTTTTTGCGTTATGCTATAAAAACATTTTGCGATAAGTAGTTACATTATGACACTGATATCCCCAAGTTAGTACTTGTCATTCTATGATAGATTACTAAAGGTGCAGACAAAGAAGCCTGGATTCTTAAAGTCAAGTTAAAATGTATTATTTTGTTTGTACAACAACTTCTACTCCCAAATCGGAAGAAAGCTAACTCAAAATCTGCCTTCAAGAAATGGGAAGCATAAGGTGCATCTATCAAATTTGATTTCACTCCAATGAAAGAGAATTAGATCAAAGCATTGAACTCATTTCTGTTTGATATCAATTAGTTGAAGTTGCAAAAAAACCGCCGTTAGAAGGCAAATAACTGTTGTGTTCTCAATATATATCGAACTAAAAGGAGACCGTTTCGTTATTTAGCTTAGAGCAGATGTCAAATTAGTCTCTACACAGTTTGCAAATAGATGCTTTCCAGTTTTCTGTGAAGATTTATCAAGTTTGCAAAAAAAATTTTTCTCGCCCCCGTAAAAGTTCTTTTGGATACTCAAGAGAATGAGTATTTTGGAGAGTAGTAAACAAAATGTCATCTATCCATCCATCCCTTCAATGCTCAAACGATAATAATGTGAAATCAGAACTTCTGAAAAGGAGGTGCTATTTTGCAAATTTCCCTCAACGTGTTCTACAGTCCAAGAAATGAATGATATTGATATCTTCCAAAATTCAGTCATCAAGGTTATGTTTCGAATAAATGGTTTCAATCGATTTTTCGGGCATTATTCTAAGTTACTAGCACATATAGTCAGTGTACTTGTCCGCAAAATATTAAAATTATTATCAGAAAGTGGGCTTGAAATTAATCCAGTCCATCGACTTGTAGTGGTGGTCGGTTCTCTCATTGTTTACGATATGAGATCACTCACTCTACTATCATTAATATGATCTATGTTTGTTGAATAGTCTACATTCTTTTTTCGATGATAATGAAGAGAGTTTCCAATAATGGAGAAGAATTATGCCTCAGGTAGAATGTGTTTGATCTGGACACGTTTTCTGAGCCAGGTTGGTATATTTCCAAAGCTCCTTCTAGCCACAACTTCTTCAGCGCCTGCTTCAATATGAGGTGAACTTATGGTTCAGAAGACTTGCCTACGTCTGACGTTATACTTCAGTTAAATTCCATATCTGAAAATGTGTATAGAAGAGAAGAAAATAAACCGATCGAAAAAATTCCGGATGTGTGTACCTAGGGAGTGCATACTTCCCTTCCCCAAGTCATGATGTATGACAAAGCAAACCAATGCCTTGTATCTCCATACATATAATTATATATGCAGAATTGTC